AACAAAATGTTTAGCAATTAGTGAATCTGGATACGGTGTACAGTAGTTTTAGCAAGTCTTTTGTAAATTTGAAATTATTCCAAAATAAAAGCAAAATCCTCAAATACAAAACAACACAACATCACTTTCATATTCAAAACCCTCACTGACCTCAGAGTCTTCAAAATAAAGACCTAAGCAGTGGTTCTCAACCTGTGGGTCGCGACCCCTTTGGCGGTTGAACGACCCTTTCACAGGGGCCGCCTAAGGCCATCCTGCATATCAGATATTTACATGACGATTCATAACAGTAGCAACATTACAGTTATGAAGTAGCAACGAGAATAATTTTATGGTTGGGTCACAACATGAGGAACTCTATTTAAAGGGCCAGAAGGTCGAGAACCACTGCCTAAACATGTCTGTGCCCCACACAGGCCCCTTTCGGTCTGACTCCCGCCACCTCCCACCCCATCTGGAACACACACCCTCACCTATCCTGTTTGGGCGATCACAGTGACTCATACTACGAGCCAGCATTCAGAGGGCACCTGCTCTGTGCCAGGCCTTCATGCATGGCAACTCATGCAAGGCCACTCATCCCATCCTCACATCGTGCCTGAGCACCCCTGTCACCGAGGAGGAAGCTGAGGCCCAGGGCGGTCAGGGGAACTGACCACGGCCACAGCTGGTGGTTGCAGGGTGGGATTCCCGTCCAGGCTGCTGGCTTTAGCATCGGGCCCACAGTCCACCACACGACACACTTCCCGAAATAACTGAGCTACATGGGGTTTCTGGAGCCCCGAATGTGCACATGCTGCTCCCTCTGGTTACTCCATCTAGGGATCCTTCCTCCAGCACGGGGCCACCTCCTCCAGGAAGCCTGCCCAGACTCCGGCCAGAGTCCCCTCTAAACTTGTGCCCGCTTCTGCTCCTCTTTCTCTCACTGCCATCATGGTAGCTCCCCGCCCCCATCCCGAGAGGGCTGCCCCTGATTCATCCTGAACCCCAACCCCCAGCACAGAGGGTGTCAATAATATTCAGTAAGTGAATGTATGAGCGAACACAGAGACAGGCACGTGGACAAAGACCTAGAACAAAAAAAAATCCCTGTTGAGATGTGATCAGAGAGATGGACAGGGAGAGGGGGCAGCCAGGCCAGGCTCAGGGCATCAGACCACCCTGAGGACACCCTGAGCCTTAGGCTGGGCGTCGTGAGCGTCGCACGTGCTAACCCAGAGGAGCAGGAGAGCGTGCTGAAGTCCGCAAGCCCGCGAGCGTGTCTGCAGGTGTGCCCGGAGGGTGCCCGGATACTCGGGGGGGACATAGGTGCCACCCTTACCCTTGAAGTTGGGGTCCAGCTCTATGGTCTGGCCCGTGCTCGGGTTCTCACAGACAACCTTCTGGAGACGAACCTGGGTGACCTTGACCAGGTCCCCCGTGGAGAGGCAGCACTCATTCCCGCAGATCTCGTAGACGGAACCTGCGGAGACACAGACTCAGTTTCCCCGTTCGGCAGGGCCAAGCACTGGGCAGCCTGTGCCCTGTTCTCCCACAAGCCCTGCCCGTCACACCTCTGCACACGTGTTCCTCTGCCAAGAACGCCCTTCCCTGTCTTTCCTACTGAGCGGCCACTGGCTCAGCTGCCTTCAGGCCGCACAAAGGCTGCCTTTGCCTTTGCTGGATGCACCTTCTGTGGTACATCCTCTGGCCTCCTCACATTCCCGAGGCTTCCCACGGTCACGCAGAGCCCAGCACCCACTCGGGTGCCTTCTTCTTCTTCAGAGAAATTGTCTTTCAAGGACGTACAGGAGAACATGGAGGGCCGCCGGCAGGGTGGGCTCCTTGGCAGGGTCCTGGGCAGAAAAAGCAGGGTCTGGAACATGGGAGGTCTCAGTAGAGGTCTCTCTCAACGAGTGCCCAGGCTCTGCGTCCTGCTGGCGACCAGCAGCAAAGTACAGTGGGGCCAGCCTTGAGACCACCGGACCCGCCCACCCCACCCGACCCCACCCCACCGCAGCCCAGCAGGGCTGGCACAACAGTCCCGAGAGACTGCCCAAACCCCTTTCCTGGTCCCCAGGGAAGTGCACACCGACTCACAAGCACACAGTGGGCCTGCGGTTTCGGGGCCAGTGAGCACAGAGCTGGGGTGACGAGCGGGGTGGTCATTGCATGTCCGTCATTGCGTGTAAGCCCATGCCTGCCCTCGGAGGACAGACAGTGCCCTTTCCTAAATGATGGAACTGAGCCTCGGCAAGGTCACCAGGGGGCCCGAGATGACAGGTAATTAGAGCCTAATTGGGACTTGAGTCCAGGTGTTTGCCTCCAAAGCTGCAACTCCTAACCCCGTCCAAGGGTCTGGGCCAGCACCTGCCCCATCAGCATCGCCATCTGTCCTCCAAGCACCCGCCTCCACACCCATCTGCTTCTCATCCTACCCTAACGACGGTCACTTCCCACCACCCCGAGGAGGCAGCATGATGAAACCAGGTGTTGTGACACCCAGTGAGCAGGGGATGTCCGGGGAGAACAAACAGAGCGGGGTACCTGCACGAAGCCCCCAGAGGTAGGGTCAGGATTTGAATCCAGAGCCTTTGGATTCCAAAGTGGACCTGGCCAGACCTGTCCCCTGTGCGGCCCTGCATGTCTCACCATTAGTCCCGGGCCCCTGAGGCCTCAGAGCTGCTGTGAGGGGGCAGAGAGAGGGGCAGGACAGCCAGGGCACCAGGAATTAAGAGCCCCCTGCCCCACCCAGTGTCTTGGTTCCCTCTCTCCTCCACCTTCTCCTTCCCCATTCTGTCTCCCACAGCTCCTCCCTCACCCTCCGCCGCCTGGGTTTCCCAGGGGCTGAGCAGCCGTCTTCCCTCTTCCATCCTCCCGCTTCCACCTCCTATCAGCCCGGGGCCTCCTGCTCTTCAGGTCATAGCTAGTGCCTGGCTGGGCCCCTCTGTGCGCAGCGAGCCAGGCGGCCTCGGCCAGGTGAGCGGATCGCAGGCGCATAGGACCAGGAGCCGTGCCAGCCGAGAGCTGGAGAGCTGCTCACATCGAGCACCGCCTGGGACAGCCCCGCAGGGACAAAGGGCGGCGGAGGGACCTGGGGGGTGTGGGGGTGCAGAGGAAATCGGGGGAGTGGGAGCTACCTGGAGGGGAGGGCTGACTGGCACGTCAGAATCTAGCAGCAGCTCCGAGTCCGCAGCGCG